GCTATGAAAAAGCACTCGGGACTCAAGTCTATATTACTTTGTTCGCGCCAACATTCTATGTTATACAATCGCCAACTTCCACGAGTAGCATTGAGTTTAATCTCCGTGCTGATAAGCTGTGACCTGGGTGGATTTGCATAATAACATGCTTAACTGGGTTATTGAATTGACCCTTTTATTGCTTATGATTAAAAACCCTCAAATTTTGAATTGTAAATCTGTTGAGTTCATAAACTTGTTGTTAGTTTTCGTTGATTGGGTTGGTCCCATCGCCTGGCTCTGCGAAACGCAGAGTTCCCCCGAAGCCCAGAGCAGCGGCGAGCTGGATAGGGAGCCACATTCTGCTTCCTCCCCAAGAGTAAAAAAAAACTCTGGGGAGTTCGCAGAGGGCTCTACCTGTTCTCGCTGGCTCTCTCTCATGTCTCCTCAAGGAGACGGAGTTTTTCGAGCCGTCTCTCAGCTGTAGAGACGGCTCTTACGGGCGACGAGGCTGGCGGTCCCGAAAGACAGTCTGGCGGTGACAGAAGCCAACCGGAAGCCCATAAACTTGTTGAGTTCAACCAATGAGCCCTTGCTAAATGTAAAAGGAAGTAAGCGTAGCATGTTATGTGCAGGCAGCTGTAAGATCTCTTAACACTTGCTGAAATGGTTGTGATAGGGATTATAGAAAGAATGCAGAGAAGAGCCCCAGAGATGATAAGAGGTCTGGAGGCCAAAACATACCATCAGTGGTTGTTCGGAATGAGGTATGTCTACTCCAGGGGTCAGCAACCTGCAGCTCCGGAGCCGCATGTGGCTCTTTGGGCCCTCTGCTGTGGCTTCCTGTCAGGTGATCCCACCATTGGCTGGCCCCGCCCCTCGTCCTCCCCTCCCAGTCACTCCTCTCTTGGCCTGAGAAGGTAAGGGCGATGGTGGGGGATGGAGAAGTGACCAGGGCAGAGATACAGAGAGAGTAGGAGAGAGAGAGAGACATAGAGAGATACAGAGAGAGTGGGGGAGGGAGGGAGGGAGAGATATGTCAAAAGGATTTTGTGGTTCCCTGTCACTGCGTTTTTGTATTTACCAGATGAGCTCTTATTTTTGAACTGTAAGACTTACTGTAGCTTGCCAAGTTCTTATCTCTAAGCTAACTGCGCATGTCCACATTCTTTCACTTTCTTCTATCTTTTTTTTTTTTTTTGTTCTCCGGCCAGGAGAGGTGGCCGGGAAAGCTGCCAAGATGTAACTAATTAGCTAGGAAGATGTTTTATTTTCTTTATAAGAAATAAATGAGTTTTTCTTAGAAAATATATCTTCGGGTTTATTTTCTTAAGGTATACTTGCAAGGAAAGGTCACGATCCATTCTCTAATCAAGGTGCAATTACCCAAAAGCAAAATGGGATTAATTGCCACTCTGACATTCCCGGTGTTTTTTAACAATTGGTTCTCTGCCTTAATGACCGGCTGGGTAGGCGTGGCTGGGGGGGTGTCATGTGACTGGTGGAAGTGAGTGACATTGAGTTAGTCACGCCCACCCAGGTTTTGTGGCTCCCGGTGTTTTCTTTTCTGTGGGAAACAGGTCCAAATGGCTCTTTGAGTATTTAAGGTTGCAGACCCCTGGTTTAGTTTAATGAAGAGAAGGGCTGGGGTGATGCGATAGCAGTCTTCCAATATTTGAGGGGCTCTCACAGAGTAGTGGGTGTTAACTTATACTCTCCAAAGCATCCGAGGGCAGGACACAAGACGTAACATATGGAAGCTTATCAAAGAGAGATCCAACCTAAAATTAAGGACAGATTTCCTGACAGTGAGGACAATTAATCAGTGGAACAGTTTATCTTCAGGAGCTGTGCATACTCCATTACTGGAAGTTTTTAAGAAGGGATTGGACAGCCATTTGTCCAGAAATGAATATGGTGTCTCCTGCTTGAGACTAAAAGATCTCCAACATCCCATCCGACTTTGTAATTCTGTATTCCATTCCAGGGGTCTCCAACCTTGGCGACTTTAAGCCTGGAGGACTTCAACTCCCAGAATTCCCCAGTTGAAGTCCTCCAGGCTTAAAGTCGCCAAGGTTGGAGACTCCTGTTCTATTCTATTTGTCGTCTTGAATGATGTAAAGCTCACATCACAGAACATAGAAGTACGGAGAAATGGGGAACATGGAAGCAATCTTTGCCTTAAGACTTTGAGCAAAGCTGGCTGGGGAATTCTAGGAGTTGAAGTCCTCCAGGCTTAAAGTCGCCAAGGTTGGAGACTCCTGTTCTACTCTATTTGTCGCCTTGAATGATGTAAAGCTCACATCACAGAACATAGAAGTACGGAGAAATGGGGAACGTGGAAGCAATCTTTGCCTTAAGACTTTGAGCAAAGCTGGCTGGGGAATTCTGGGAGTTGAAGTCCTCCAGGCTTAAAGTGGCCAAGGTTGGAGACCCCTGTTCTACTCTATTTGTCACCTTGAATGATGTAAAGCTCACATCACAGAACATAGAAGTACGGAGAAATGGGGGAACGTGGAAGCAATCTTTGCCTTAAGACTTTGAGTTAAGTTAACTTCCTTCCCAAACTCCTACGGTTAGATTAGATCAGCTACAGGCCGCCGAGTGGCTTGTATGACCTGATCCAAATCCCAGCATAGAAGATAAAAGAGGCCACACACACTTCTTTCAATTTCACTTGAGGGCAAAGCTTCAACCGCATCGAATGCACCCTTGCTTCCCGCAGCAGCAACCTTTCTAACTGCACGGCTCTTCCCATTCAGATGCTGGTTGTGACACTCTTAGTATAAACTTTCCTACCGAGGAAAACAAACCAAGTTTTTTTTATTAAACTAAGCAGGGAGCCAGCCCTTTGCTTTATTCCAAGTCAGCAACAAATGCTGTAAATTCCATTATCCCAAGTATCAGTGGTTCCCTTTTTTGCTAAACAAGCAGCCCGAAGCCTGCATAACAGCTTCTTCTTTAATTATTCAGTCCCAGCAGCTGCTGGTGTGATGCCTTTGGATGTGTTTATATGAGAAGAGAGGAAGAAAGGAAGATGGGGCTGGGAGTGGGGTGAGGTGAGGTGGGAAGTTGCGGGGCAGAGGAATGGATCAGACTCAGTGCTGGTTCTCTTGAATGCGGGGACAGGGTTGGTAGAGGTAAGATTAGGAGAATTCTCACATGACCGGGGTAGAAAACAAAGAGAAGGGAAGAGATTGGAACCAAATTTCCAGGGTATGTATCTTATCAGAAGCTGCACTGACACATATTCTGAAAAACACTTATTAATTTTTAAAGGGACATTGGCTGGAATTTCTTTTTTTTTAATTTGATTTATATGCCGCCCTTCTCCAGAGACTCAGGGCGGCTTACAGTGCGTTAAGCAATAGCCTTCATACTTTTGTATATTTTATACAAAGTCAGCTTATTGCCCCCACAAACTGGATCCTCAATTTACCTACCTTAGAAAGGATGGAAGGCTGAGTCAACCTTGAGCCTGGCGAGATTCGAACTTACAGTAATAGCAGGCAGCTGGTGTTAATCACAATGCTATCAGTCTGCTGAGCCACCAGGAATGCATGTTGGCTAGGTGACCAGGTTCCCAAACCCCTTCAAGGCTCTTCTAAATTCTTTTCTTGAGATCTGGTGAGGATTATCTCAGTCTGGAAGAAAACAACTACCCAAGACTTCTGAAACTAGTTAATGGTGGTAGAAATGTGTGTGTGTGTGTGAGAGAGAGAGAGAGGGCTATTTGCAAAGGCCATTGCATATCCCCCCCTCCAGCAGATCCCATTGTGAAGTAGGATTATTGGCCAATCCAGGGGTCTGCAACCTTAAACACTCAAAGAGCCATTTAGACCCGTTTCCCACAGAAAAGAAAACACCGGGAGCCACAAAACCCTTCCTGTGCCTGACTATTTCTTGAGGGGCCACAAAACTGGCATATGTAGTTGAATTAAATGTTCTGTTTTCTTCTGAAACTTTTCTTTTCTGGGATTTATCCATGGTTGGGCTACCGGGGAGTTGAAAAGCTCAATAAATCACGTGCTGGTGGGTGTCGCATATTGGCGGTTGTGATGCATAGTTTGAGTGACGGGGAGCCACAGCAGAGGGTTGAAAGAGCCACATGCGGCTCCAGAGCTGCAGGTTGCTGACCCCTGGGCTAATCTAAAGAAAAGAAGAATTAGGGGTGATATGATAGCAGTAGTCCAGTATTTGAGGAGCTGCCACAAAGACGAGGGGGTCATATTAGTCTCCAAAGCACCAGAGGGCAGGACAAGAAACAATGGATGGAAACTGATCAAAGAGAGAAGCAACCTGGAACTGAGGAGAAACTTCCTAACAGTGAGGACAATTAACCAGTGGAACAGCTTGCCTCCAGAAATCGTGGGCGCTCCAACACTGGAGGTTTTTAAGAAGCGTCTAGACGAGTGATGGCTAACCTTTTTGCCATTGCGTGCCAGGAAGGGGGGGCGGGGGAGGTTCACGCACGCGCGTGCCCACACCCATAATTCTATGCGCCCTGCCCTGCGCATGTGTGCCCAATCCCCCCTCCCCCCCTTGCTCCTGGACAGTTTTTCTTTGTCACCTGGCTCCAGATCCTCTCTATGCATCTGGGGAGGGTGAAAACAGCCTTCCCCACCTACCCCCAGGCCCTCCGGAGGCAGAAAACAGCCTGTTTCCCTACTTCTGGTGCGCGCCAGAGCTGAGCTGGTGTGCCCACTGATATGCCCACTGATATGGCTACGCGTACCACCTGTGGCACTGTGCCATAGGTTCGCCGTCACGGGTCTAGACAATCACTTATCTGAAATAGTATAGGTTCTCCTGCCTGAGCAGGGGCTGGACTAGAAGACCTCCGAAGTCCCTTCCAGCTCATTCATTCGATTCTATTCTATTAATATTGATATTAATATTAATATTGATTGCTTCCATTGTGATGTGGCTTGTGGAAGACATTCTGGAGCTCCAACGGAAAAGAAACGCCTGCCTGATGCACCTTTCTCTTTTCTTTCCTCTCTCTCTCTCTCTTGATGCAGGTCCCAATTAATGGATTCTGACATGGATTATGAAAGGCCAAACGTAGAAACCATCAAGTGTGTCGTGGTTGGGGACAACGCAGTGGGCAAGACACGGCTCATTTGTGCCCGTGCATGTAATGCCACATTGACACAGTATCAGCTCCTCGCTACCCACGTGCCCACCGTCTGGGCCATTGATCAGTACCGGGTTTGCCAGGAGGTGAGTGGCATTTTCTTTTTCTTTTTTTTTGAAAAAAGTTTTTTATTTTTATTTTTCATCAACATGTTTAAATGTACAGGTTTTTTTTTTTTTTAATTTGATTTATATGCCGCCCTTCTCCGGAGACTCAGGGCGGCTTACAATGCGTTAAGCAATAGCCTCCATACTTTTGTATATTTATACAAAGTCAGCTTATTGCCCCCACAATCTGGGTCCTCATTTCACCTACCTTAGAAAGGATGGAAGACTGAGTCAACCTTGAGCCTGGTGAGATTTGAACTTGCAGTAATTGCAAGCAGCAGATGTTAATAACAGTGCTTTAGCCCACTGTACTATCAGGCTCTGATAGTATTGCAAGTCTATCTCCACAAGCCGTTGGACTACCCTAGATTGGACATCCTTAAGGCCATAGTCTCCCAAGGCATCCCACGAAAAAACTAGCAGGTGGAGTTTCTTCGTCAGCTCCCTCTCCCATCGAGAAGTATAGGAGTCAGCTAACACCAGGGAGAGGTAGCTCTCTGGGGCTGCCCAAAAGAGCGCCCGAAGCCACCATTGAAAGGTGTTAATCCACGCCATGCATTCGACTGATTGAATGCCCAATTTCTGTGACTGAAAGGGAATTAGAATTTGGGTCTCCACCCTCCCTAGTCTACCACCTTCAGCCCCACACTACACTGGACCTCTAATTGTCCCTTTTGGTCTGAAGATAATCTTTTCTTTTTTAAAAAATTTCTCCCAGGTACTGGAACGTTCCCGAGATGTTGTAGACGATGTTAGCGTTTCCTTAAGGCTTTGGGATACCTTTGGGGACCATCACAAAGACAGGCGCTTTGCTTACGGAAGGTAGGTCCTGGAAACGGACGCAGAGCTTCCATTAACATTTTTACTGAGTTATAAAGTAAGATAATGGAGGTAGTGACAGATTTTATTTTCCTGGGCTCCAAGATCACCGCAGGTGGGGACTGCAGCCAAGAAATTAAAAGAGGCTTGCTCCTGGGGAGGAAAGCCATGGCAAATCTAGACAGCATACTAAAAAGCAGAGACATCACCCTGCCAACAAAAGTGCATATAGTCAAGGCGATGGTTTTCCCAGTTGCAATGGATGGCTGTGAAAGTTGGACCATAAGGAAGGCTGAGCGCCAAAGAATGGAGGCCTTTGAACTCTGGTGCTGGAGAAGACTCCTGCGAGTCCCTTGGACTGCAAGGCGATCCAACCGGTCAGTCCTAGAGGAGATCAGCCCTGACTGCTCTTGAGAAGGCCAGATCCTGAAGATGAAACTCAAATGCTTTGGCCACCTAATGAGAAGGAAGGACTCCCTGGAGAAGAGCCTAATGCTGGGAATGATGGAGGGCAAAAGAAGAAGGGGACGAGAGGGAACGAGGTGGCTTGATGGAGTCACTGAAGCAGTAGGCGTGAGCTTAAATGGACTCCAGAGGATGGCAGAGGACAGGAAGGCCTGGAGAAATGTTGTCCATGGGGCCACAATGGGTCAGACACGACTTCGCAACTAAACAACAACAACAAAAAAATATTATAAAATACAAAGCACATAGAAAAGCAGTGGGGGGGAGGGGGGAAGGGAAAAGAGAAGTGAAGAAAGCTAAGAAAGAAAAAGAAGCTATCCTGAAAGCAGATACAGAACTTCCGTAGAACCCCAAAACATAGCGGAGAGGTTCGCTGCGGAATCCAGAGTTGCAAGAAATAGGGATGGCCTTCTGGAAGTTGGAAGTCTTAGTGTCCGGAAGATAGACAAGTGGAGTAAACAGTCCTACTCTACTCACTGATGCTCCCTCTAAGCCAAAGGTTGCATTCACTTACTTTCCCTACCGGTTCGCAAATATGAGCGTGCGTGTGGCCTTCCACGCTATGCGCTTTGCTTGTGTGTGTGGCTTGCATGATGTTGTGACCCAGGCCCAAGTAGGTATTATCAGACAAACAGTTCAAAACAAACAGACTTTATTAGAACAGCTGAGAATTAACTCATTCTCAGCGTAGTCCAAACTAAATCAAAACAAATTCTTCGTAACAATTCTTCAGCCTTATCACCAACCTTGGTCTAATTAGGCAACCTGCCAAAGGCTTTTCTTGGCAAAAGTTCAGAAGCAGAAGACGCCGACAAGAAATAAATGCAGCAAGACAAGAAACCAATCTATCAACGTTGTTTTCCGACAAAGAGCTCAAGAGCTGTTGCTGGTATTTTAAGCCTTATGGGAGGGGCCAATCATCTCTTGGCCTTACTCCTGAGTCGTCCTCTCTGCTTTATCTGCTCCTGCCTTCTGGCAGCTCTTCTCATACGTGCACTAGGAACAGGCTTCTCCTGTTCCTCTGCCTCTCTGCTGTCAGCCTCTGGAGGCTCCAGAGTCCGCACATCACTCCCAGATGGCCCTGGCCCCATCACTGCCTCCGACGCAGAGCCCTCATCCGGGCCTTCCCCAGCCTCCAGGACTGGCCCATGTTCTTCCTCAGCCTCTTCACTGTCTGACTCCGCTGACAGTGTTGGCAGACCACAACACATGCATGCGCGTGGCTTCAAAATGTGCCTAAATAGTACGGCATTGCGCCGGGGTGGCAGGTCGTTACTACCGGTTCGTGCGAACTGGTGTGAACCAGCTGAATGCCACCTCTGCTCTAAGCACATCTCCCGAGATATCAAAGGGCATTTTACGGGTTATGATACTAATTCCAGTAGTATTGTTAAGGCAAGGAAAATAAGGAGACCATCTATGAAAAGGAATCTGAGTTTTTTCCAGGACACGGGTCAAATGTGCGGCCTTACTACCTTGTTTCCCGCAAAATAAGGCATCTCCTGATAATAAGCCCAATTGGGCTTTTGAGCGCATGGCAATAAGGCCAAGAGCTTATTTCAGGGTTCAAAAAAATATAAGACAGGGTCTTATTTTCGGGCAAACATGGTACCGTACAAACATTGTACATATAGAGTCCCTTGGGAGTTGGGCGGCATAGAAATGCGATAAATTAAATTAAATTGTGAGGGTGGGGAGTGTCAATGGCCATCAAACTCTTATGCAGTCACTGATTCCTGCTTCCTTTCTTCCCACAGATCTGACGTCGTAGTATTATGTTTCTCCATTGCTAATCCAAACTCCCTCCACCATGTGAAGACCATGTGGTACCCTGAGATTAAGCATTTCTGTCCCAGGGCACCTGTCATCTTGGTAGGCTGCCAGCTCGACCTTCGCTATGCTGACCTAGAAGCAGTCAACCGAGCCAGGAGACCTTTAGCCAGGTAGGACATTGGGTTTAGTTCAGTGGTGAAATGTAAAATTTGTTACTACCGGTTCTGTGGGCTGGCTTGTGGTGGTGGTGAGGTAATATGACTGAGTGGGCATGGCCAAGTTTTTTTTTTTTACTTTTAAAACCATTTTTTCTACAACCTTCTTCGGCTGAAGAGGTTGTAAAAAAATGCTTTTAAAGCCTCTGACGATCCCAGCTGACTTGCCTGATCATCAGAGGCTTTTTTTTTTACTTTTAAAAGCTTTTTTTCAGCCAAAGAGGTTTTAGAAAAAATGCTTTTAAAAGCCTCTGATGATCCCAGCTGACGCTTCGTGATCATCAGAGGCTTTTTTTTTTTTTTTTACTTTTAAAACCTTTTTTTCTACAACCTCTTCGGCTGAAGAGGTTAAAAAAAATGCTTTTAAAGCCCTGACAATCCCAGCTGACTTGCCTGATCATCAGAGGCTTTTTTTTTTTACTTTTAAAAGCATTTTTTCGGCCAAAGAGGTGTAGAACAAATGCTTTTAAAAGCCTCTGATGATCCCAGTGAGCCTCGTGATCATCAGAGGCTTTTTTTTTTTTTTACTTTTAAAAGCATTTTTTCGGCCAAAGAGGTTGTAGAAAAAATGCTTTTAAAAATAATAAAAAAAGCCTCTGATGATTGCACGGCTCAGCTGGGCAATGGGGTGGGGCAGGGATTTTTGCTACTGGTTCTCCGAACCACCCGCCTCCATCGCTACCGGATCGGGCGATCGGGTCTGAACCAGGAGCATTTCATCTCCTGGTTTAGTTTTTCTTCCTTGGGCGGGAGAAACTCACAGGGTAGTCCTTGACTTATAACCGCTTGAAGTTAACGACAGACCACCCAAACAAAGCATACTTAGCTACGGTCTGTTTCCAAAGTTAGGACACTCGCGCCGCTCCTCTCTCCATGGTCATGTGATGACAGGTTGGACACTTGGCGATAGGCTCACCTGTATAGCCACATGCAACATCCCACGGTCACATGACCACAATGCTTTGGTTGGAGGAGAAAAGTGGGGGAAAAAGCTGAAGGGTCAGGTTTTCAAGATAGAGTGTACAGGTAGTCCTCGACTTACAACAGTTCAAAGTTATGGAGACACTGAAAAAAAGCGACGTATGACCATTTTACACACTTAAGACTGATTGTTGTAGCATCCCCAGGGTCACCTGGTCAAAACCGGGACACTTGGCAACTGATTCATATTTATGACGGTCCCCTTTTGCAGCTTTCCAACAAGCAATGTCAGTGGGAAGCCAGATTCGCTTTACGACCATGTGACCAGTTAACAAACTGCAGTGATTCACTTAACAATTGTGGCAACAAACAAAAAAAGTCATAAAATGGGACAAAACTCACTTTACACCCGTCTCACTTAGCGACAGAAATTTTGAGCGCCATTGGAGTTGTAAGTGAAGGACTACCTGTAGTTTTTCAGACTTTCTGTAACAAAACTCATTCTAAGCCTTACTGACTATGTAACGGTAGTATGAACTGTATTCTTAGCCTGATCACCCTGATAGCTGTAGAGTTTTTGGGATGATTTGCTGTTTTTCCAGTTAGATAATCATCCTTTTCTTTCCCCTGCTATAATTTTGAGTTTTGGTTGCTCGGCTAACATCAAACCTGTGGCTGTTTTCTTTTTTTTCCAGGCCAATCAAACCAAATGAAATTCTGGGCTCCGGAGAAGGGACGAGAGGTAGCCAAAGAGCTGGGCATCCCTTACTACGAGACCAGTGTAGTTGCCCAATTTGGCATCAAGGACGTCTTCGACAACGCCATCCGAGCGGCCCTCATCTCCCGGCGGCATCTCCAGTTCTGAAATCCCACCTCCGTAACGTCCAAAGGCCGTTGCTCCAGGCCCCTTTCTTGCCCCCCAAGCCTCCTCCCCCCATCATCGTTGTCCCCGACCCTCCTTCCATGAAGAGCGCCCGGCTCATCTGCTGGAGGATCCTTTGTGTGCAGATTGTTATCCTGGTGCTGCAAGAGAGAATCAAATCTACGCGCACAAGATCTACCTCTCCACCGCCTCCTCCAAGTTCTATGACTTGTTCCTGATGGACCTGGACGAGGAGGGCCAAGAGGAGATGACGGGAAGCAGCATCAGGATGGGCGCTGCGGAGCGAACGGTTCCTCAGGAACGGCATCATCACCATGGCGGGACTTCCTCTTGAGGGCTGCTAGTTTTGACATCTGTGAGAGTACTGAAGAAGCTGGCTCCGGCCAGCAAAAACCGTGCCTTAGAGCCTCCACCAGCGATGGGATTTTGCGGGGCAAGAACTACGGGGAACGAGGGCTAAAGCGGGGGAGAATCCTCTCCTCTTGGAGCCGTGCCTTTGTCAGCATCCAGGAGGAGATGGCCGATGACCCCGTGACCTACAAACCCCCCGGCTGATGGTGGTCGTGAAGATGGATCCCTCCATCCAGCTGGGACCGTTCAGGGCCGTGCTCAAATATCTCACACCGGGGAGCTGGATGAGAACGAGAGAGATCTCATGCATATCGCCCACATTGCTGAACTGCTCGAAGTCTTCGACCTCAGGATGATGGTGGCCAACATCCTCAACAACGAGGCGTTCATGAACCAGGAGATCACCAAAGCCTTCCACGTCAGGAGAACCAACCCGGGTGAAAGAATGTCTGGCCAAGGGGACTTTCTCTGGTAGGTTGGGAAGCGAGATTTTACAGTGCTCTAAAGCCAGGGGTCTTTAATTCAACTGAGACATCCTTTTGAGCTCCGGGACAACCGACTTGATGAATGAAGGCAAATAATTGTGTCCCAGGATTAATGTTGCAGGATCCAATCCGAGTCGGTCACCAGGACCAGAGGTTTAGTCTTCTGAACTTTTGGACTCAAGGCTGGAGCCCATCCCCGGGAAACCTCCCCCCCTCTCTCCCTCCCTCTCACCTCTCCCTTCCCCTCTCCCTTCCTTCATCTCTCTCTCTTTCTCTCCCCTCACTCCCCTCTGTCTCCCTCTCCCTCACTCTCTCCCTCTCTCCCCTTCCTCTCTTCTCTCTCTCCATCCCTCTCTCTTCTTCTCTCCCTCCCTCTCTCTCCCTCCCCCTCTCCTCTTCCTCTCCCTCCCTCCCTCTCCCTCTCTCCTCCCTCTCTTTTTCTCTACCTTTCTCCCCTCCCCCCCCCCTCTCTCCTTGTCTCCCTCTCCCTCCCTCCATCTACCCTCTCTCCCCCCTCTCTCCCTCCTCCCTCCCTCTCTCCTCCCCCTCACTCTCCCCCTCTCCCTCCCTCTCTTCCTCTCTCCCTCCCTCTCTCTCCCTCCCTCTCTTCTCTACCTCTCCTCTCCCTCTCTCTTTTCTCTCCCTCCCTCCCTCTCCTCCCCTCCGTCTCCCCCTCCCCCCCTCTCCCTCCCTCCCTCCCTCCCTCTCCTCTCCCTCCCTCCATTCTCTCTCTCTGACTCTCTCTCCCCCATCTCTCTCCCCCTCCCTCCCTCTCTCTCCCTTTTCCAGAATGTGTGCACTGGGCTGTTCTAAGCATTGTATTTATATGTTGCCTGGTTATGCGTGGCGTTTAGCTGTTAATTAGAAAGTTGATGGGCGCTATTAAGTCATTAGTTGTTTCCTTTTGCTGCCTCAAGCCCTAGCCTTCTAACTTTCCTGAGGATGGGTCTAGCTTGAGCCCGAAAACTTGGAAGAATAAATCTTTGGTCCCGGTGACCGACTCAGATTGGATCCTACAATCTACTGAGCATCGATCTCAGGGGAAACCTGCCTTATTCTGGGTGTGAATGTTGTATCGCAAGGTGTCATACAACTGTCTATTGAGTTGCAGTCCAAGTGAGGTCAAATAAGCGAATAGGGCATTTTAGCTTCTGTTGTTTCCTGTGCGTGCGTGCGTGCATTGGTGATTGGTGCTTTGCTCTCCCCGCAAAAATGAACTTGGCTGCTTGTGGGGGAATCACGACTGCCAAGTTTGCCTTTTCTGTGTGCCAACATTCTGCATGTTCCTTGGTTGAAAACGTATCCTGCATTTAAAACATCTTACTCGCTAGGGAAACTATTACTTTAAAGTCTTCTGCTTTGCTATTTGGTGTCAGGCACAAAAGACCAGGTCCATACATGAGAGTTCAATTAAACCGATATATTGTTATCCCATGCCCAGGACTTCTCAAAGCCCATGCACAGCAATCTTCTCAATTAAAGGCTTGTGGCACTTGCTTAAAGCAGAGGTCTTAAACTTGGCAGCTTTAAGACATTGTGACTGAAGCTCCCAGTCTTCTCCAGCCAGCATAGCATAGCTGGCTGGAGAATTCTGGGAGCTGAAGTCCACAAGTCTTAAGGCTGCCAAGTTTGAAGACCTCTGCCTAGCCAGTCATGCTGACTGGCAATTTCTGGGAGCTTGAAGTCCCACAAGTCTTAAAGCTGCCAAGTTTGAAGACCTTTGGCATAGAGTTAGATACGCAAATAGCCCTCAAAAGAGTTGGAATTCATTCTTTTGTGGCTACGTAGAGATTCTTGGCTGATTCCCCCCTTTTCATTCCACCCCCAGTCTGCCATTCCATTCTCTTCCAACTGGATTTTACATAGGCAGAGAAGCACCGTTCCAATGTGAGGTTAAAATCTTATCCAATCTCCAAGTGGGAGAGTTTGGATAAGGTTTATCACCTCATTTGGTGCCGATGTATCCCATGGCCCTTCTACCTCTCCCAAGGGAAGACAGAAGCCTGCTGTCAAACGAGATGACCAGCTCTTTCACTACTCCAGGCATCTCGGCCGGCAGTGGTTTAACAGCAGTATTAAAGAATAGAATAGAATGGAGTGGAATGGAGAATAGAATAGAATAGAATAGAATAGAATAGAATAGAATAGAATAGAATAGAATAGAATAGAAAATATGGAATGGAATGGAATGGATTAGAATAGAATAGAATAGAATAGAATGAATAGAATAAATAGAATGAATAGAATGAATAGAATAGAAAATATGGAATGAATGGAATAGAATAGAATAGAATAGAATAAAAGAATAGAATAGAATAGAATAGAATAGAATAGAAAAATAGAAAATATGGAAATGAATGAATGGAATAAAAATAGAATAGAATGGAATGGAATAGAATAGAATAGAATAGAACATAGAATAGAATAGAATAGAATAGAATAGAATAGAAAATATGGAATGGAATTCTTTATTGGTCAAGTGTGATTGGATACATAAGGAATTTGTCTTTGGTGTATATGCTCTCAGTGTATATAAGGAGAATAAAATACATTCATCAAGAATAAAAAAAGATACAATGGACAGAAACTTCTTTGCCATTCTTAAGCCAGGCTTGGCAAGTTTTTTCAAAATAGGCATAATCTAGACATCCATTTCCAGCGTGTCAGGGATGCGTAACTATAGCATGTTTTCCTTCTTTGCAGATGTCACTTTTATACTGGATGATGGTGCTATCAGTGCCCACAAGCCCTTGCTGATCTCCAGTTGTGACTGGATGGCTGCCATGTTTGGGGGTCCTTTCGTTGAGAGCTCAACTCAGGAGGTGAGGCAACCTTGAGCATGGACTGAGAAATGTATTTATGTATATTATTTAGCAAGAGCAATGGACTTATATACCGCTTTACGGTGCTTTACAGCCCTCTCTAAGCGGTTTACAGAGTCAGCCTCTTGCCCCCAACAATTTGGGTCCTCATTTTACCCACCTTGGAAGGATGGAAGGCTGAGTCATCCTTGAGCCTGGTGAGATTCGAACTGCCAAATTGCAGGCAGCCAGCAGAAGTAGCCTGCAGTACTGCACTCTAACCACTGCACCACCGAGGCTCATTTATTTATTTACCCACCTTTATTACTTTATACATAACTCAAGGTGGCAAACATACAGTACATAATATTCCTCCTCCTCCTCTTTCTACTCTTTTTCCCCACAACAACAACAACACCTCACCTGTGAGGTGAGTTGGGCTGGAACCACTGGCCCAAAGTCATCCAGACAGCTTTCATGGCCAAAGCAGGACTAGAACTCATCATCTCCTGGCGATTGGCTCAAAGTCACCCAGCTGGCTTTCATGTATGTCTAAGGCAGGACTAGAACTCACAGTCTCTTGGCTAGTTGGGCCAAAGTCACTTGGCTTTCATGCGAGACTAGAACTCCGCATCACCTGATTTCTAGCCACCTGGTGCCTTAACAAAACCGACTCTCTCTTTTTTTTTCATGTAACTTCATGTAGTTACAGTCACGTCCCTAAATGTCCCCAGCAGCTTTTTGTACACGGTCCTATTCACCTGTTTCAACAAACATTAGTTCTTCACAACAGTCTACATGCAACACAATCCTTCCCACCTCACAGCTCTGGTGTTCTCTGTGCAAAATGCACCAAATGTTTGAATGCTGCTTTGAAAGAGCACAGCAGCTGGAGAAGGATATAAAATGGGTTCCATATGGTTGAAGAAAATATGGAGATTGTATTGTATTGTATTGTATTGTATTGTATTGTATTGTATTGTATTGTATTGTATTGTATTGTATTGTAT